GGCGTCTGTTCACCTCCACAGCCCCCTAACCCCTTCCTAAACTCTAATATTCCAGTTGGCTGCAAAGAGGACAGAATCTGCACTAATGTCAGAGTCTCCTGCACCAGCTGCATGAGTCAAAGGGAACAGAGAGGGCGAGAGCCGGTGAGTCACATATACAGAGCAGATCTTTACTAGCAAGGCTGTCAATCTTATCAGTGCTCGCTTTCCTTAGGAAAGGTAAAGAGGGTTGAGAGAAGGAGAGCTGAACATTTAGATCTATGATAAGAAGTTTACCCTGAAATGGAGAGTTATTACTTAAAAAGCCAATTATTGGGGCTGTCCCTGTGGCCAGGTGGTGAAATTTCCCCACGTTCTGCTTTGGCAGCCCAGGGTTCGTGGGTTCGGATCCTGGGTGCGGACCTACTCTACTCATCAGCCATGCTGTGGAGGCATCCCACATACAAAGTAGAGGAAGACTGGTACAGATGTTAGCTCAGGGCCAATCTTCCTCACCAAAAAGAAAGAAAGAAAGAAAGGAAGGAAGTCAATTATTGTATGTATCATATGCCCAGGCACACAAAAGGAAAATTGAGGTTTGCAAATAGACTAAATAGTTCCACATTATTATTTGAGTTTCTGATTCTAATTTTATCTCTATTATTTTCTTTCTCATTTTCAAACTGTGATATCCTAAGTTTAGCAGGCAAGTTCTGAATTCACTATGCCCTTCAAACTTACTGTTTCAACTTTGCTGTGGGCTAGAAACTAAAGCCAGAGTTTCTTAAAATTGCGTGGTGAACTAGAGAAGTCAGTCCTGAGTGAAGGCTTGAGACGGGTCTACTATGACTGAAAGGCAGGGGCTTCACTGTTCGAACTGTGTGGCAGATATTCTAGCTGTTCAGAGGCCTTTATTATTTCCTTCCTGGTCCTTGGCTTTGTTCCAGATAACTGAAGCTAGTAAACAATCCTCAACTCTGTGGAGAGAGATTTCCTTTTCAAGTGAGTCCTTCCTGGTTAGGGATTAGGGTCGGGATTAGTCAAACTCCATTAGTGTTAATCAACATTTGCCTCAGTTATGAGCATTTTCCTTCTCTCCTCTCAACTACTTACTCTCTTCTTTCCTACCTCTTCCATTCCTTCTGCCTGTTACCCCTTTTGATGGTGGGAAAACCTGTTCTATTTGGAAGTAGCCAAGTAGACATGGCTTACAGACAATCCCCACTCTATTTACACCCAAAGCACCACACTCAGGGGCTAGTCAAATGCGCACATCTTCTCTCCATCAGCCCTGCTCACCATGTTGCCCTTGGCCTCATCAGTGTCACAGGACTTCACTGCTTGCTTCTTCCAGAGGCAGATGGGGACAACTCTGTGGCCTTGGGGAACGTGACAAAGGCAGTGGTCAAGCTTGTTCCTACTGGGAGAGCTCTTCCAGGCTGTCATCAGAGTCCCAGTAAACTAGGCTTATAGGAGGGATGTTGAGATCTTCTGGTACCTTTCAACACAGCCTTCTTAGCCTGTCAAGTATTTTGCTCTGATTTGGCTTTGGGGAGGGGCAGGAGTCCTTCTTTGCCTTTACTGTAATCTTTTCAAAAATTCTATCTGTATCTTTGACAGCAGTTTACTGGCCTATTAATGCCAAGTGTGGGCGCTGCTTTACCTGGTAGATGACATTCAGTTGTAAGAGATAGAATTAGACTTTCTCAGAGATGCCATTCATTGAGAGATTTTATATATGACTTTTGTACATTAACAGAACCCTACAGATTACACTTTCAAATTTTCTAGTTTCTAGGATCATCGTGTTACTCTTCTTTTAGCCTTCAGACATCTTATTGGGACACTAAATATTTTATAAAGTTATTACTAGTAGCAGTATAACAACTCAGGCTAACTTCTTAAGTTCTTCCCATGAAACAGTAGTTCAGGAAAAGAGATCTGAATATAATTAAGTGAACACACATTAGATGATTTCTAACTAAAAACATAAAATGATGCTCAGTATTACTTCCCAAACCTGACAACTTGTAGTCAGTTATTCATTGCAAAGCACTAGAAGAAAATACTCTTTAAATGATAGGCTGTGGCACTTTCTCAAAGTTCTATCTTTATAGACAGATTATAAGATTCTTATTTCTTATGAACTAGTACCAATTTCATATTGCTTGAGTCTTTCCCAAGACCTTGTACAACTCTGGACTCAAGTTGGTGCTCAATAAATGTAATTGTTTGGGCTATCAAATCAAATAACTTCAGAGAGAAGTTATTAAACTTAAAATAGATTAAATTTGAAAAGATGGCCAACCTCACTAAAAAACACGGAAATTAAAAGGAGATAACATTTTGTGTCCATAAAATTGGCAAAAATTAAGAAATCTGATAATATAAAGTGTTGATAAGAATGTGGAGCAACAGTAAATCTCATTCAGTGTCAGCAGAAGTATAAATTGGTGCAACCACTTTGAAGAGCAATTTGATATTATCTAGTAAAGCTGAGGATACGCATACCCTTCAACCCAGCAATTCCTCTTGGAGAGATATATCATTCTGTACATCTTCACAAAAAGATATACACAATAATGATCATTGCAGCATTGTCTGTAATAGCAATAACAAAAAGCTAATGAACTGGGAAAAAAACAAAATGAAACACAGAAACACCAGGAACAATCTAAATATCCACCAACAGAAAAATGGACCAACTGTAGTATATCTATTAATAAGAGAATGGGTAAACCATGGCATATTCATATAATGGCATATAGTAATAGTAGTGAAAATAAATGAACTAGACTATATAGACTAACACAATTAAAACCGTAAGACTGTTAAATGAAAAAAGCAAGTTGCAGAAGAATAGGAAGTTTAAAAACAAATAATGTTAAGTATTTTATGTACAGATACACGTGAAAACCAGAAAAAAATTTTGAATGGGAATAAGAAAGACCAAATTCAGAATAGTAGTAATTTCTAGGTAGGAAAAGACAGAAATAGAACCAAGAAATGACACATAGGGCTTCAAGAGCATCTGTAACGTTTTACTTCTTTAAAAAAAAGATTAGAAACGAAACATTTAGCCCGATAAAAAAAATCATGAGAAAGCAACTTTTTTAAAATGAGAAAGACATTCTGCAGTCCCCATCAAAAAATTAAAAATAGACTAGTTTACTATGTCAACAATCTGCCCAAGTTAGAAAAAAATAGGAGTATGACTCTTCAAATAACTGAGAATACTACTTAAAACAGCCAGATGGTCAGTCTAAATCATAGGTGATTTAAAGATCCCTAGCCTCCTCCACTTCCAAGAGAAAATTCTTCCATATCTATTTTAGTAAATCTCACGTAGCTTCCTGAGAATAAAGAAATAGATGTACGCTGTACAGCCAATAAGGCCAAGCACCTAGAATAGAGGTTTTAAGAGGCAGAGGCAGAATACAAACATCAAAACCCAAAACGACTACCAAAACCAAAACAAATAAAAATTAAGTGATGTTTTATGAAAAATCCTTGGTTATCAGTGCTTAATTTTAAGGAGGATGGAGGATTTAACAGTTGTGGAGACAAGAAAGGATTCCCTGAGCAATGACTCTAAGGCTGAACATGAGGAATGAGTAAGGATTAACTAACTTTTGCAGAGGGTACGATGCAAAGCTGCACGGGCCTGGTGGCTGGAATGACCAGTATGAATAGGAAACGAAACAAAGTCACTGAAGTTGGAAGAGCAGGGGATGAGCAGAGTGGGGAGATGCTGGAGGGAGTTAACGGACAGTGAGGTGGAAAAGGAAGGTAGGGCCTTGAATTTGATTTCTATGCTACCAAAAATGGAATGCCATCTAAAAGTTTAAATAAAGGGATGGTATAATCAGAGATGAATTTTGCATCCATGATTACATTTTAAACTCTGTGTGTGCACACATGCATGTATGTGTGTGTGTGTGTAGGGATGCAAAGTGGAGGCAGAAAGAAGGTTACTGGGGTAGCCCATTGGAGAAATAATAGCAGCTTTGTCTATAATGGTAGTGATGGAAAAAAGCAAAGGTAGACATAAAAAAAGATACATAAGAAATAAAATCAGTACAACTCAAGGATGGATCAGTGGTGAGAATGAGGAAGAGGGGGGAGTAAAGAGAGTTCTGAGGTTTCCGGTTTACACAACTTGGGGACAGCGTCCTTCACTGAGAGAGGACACTGGAAGAGGACCAAGGGGGTGAGGTGGTGGCATGGGGATCAGGAGTTGTTTTGGACGTAATGAATTTGGGCTATCTCTGAGAGACTACAAATTTAGGGGAGGTCTGATTGAAGATATAAATTTGTGAGTTTGCCGACAGTTTATAATTTAAACCACAGTTACCTTTGAGACACCAGGAAGAGAACACAGAAAGAGAAGTCCTAGGACTAAGCCTTGTGAAACCCCCACACTGAGTGGCCAACAAAAAGGACAATGACTCTATTTAAACAGAAAAGGAGGAACCTAAAAGGCAGAGGAAAACACAAGGAGAAATATGTATTTCTTTCAATAAATATTTGTTAGATTAAGAAATAATTAATAAACACATGTATTTGGCTCAATGACACTTAGCTCCAATCATAAGACAGTTTCGACTTCTAGTTTTCTTTTTTTTTTTTTTTACTTTTTATTTCTATTAAATTAAAAATCCCTAAGTCACAATCGCAGATAGATATGGGAATGGGACAAACATTAGCTGATGTGTCAGAGACATTCAGCTTGATTATTGGATCCAACCTTACAAAGGTATTCCTCCCTGAAGATTATGTGTAGCTCTCAGACCAGATTCCAGGTTGCTGATCTTATCACACTCAAAAGCTGGAAGACTGGGGCTGGCCCTGTGGCCGAGTGGTTAAGTTCGCGCGCTCCGCTGCAGGCGGCCCAGTGTTTCGTTGGTTCGAATCCTGGGCACGGACATGGCACTGCTCATCAGACCATGCTGAGGCAGCGTCCCACATGCCACAACTAGAAGGACCCACAACGAAGAATAGACAACTATGCACTGGGGGGCTTTGGGGAGAAAAAGGAAAAAAAAAAAAATCTTAAAAAAAAAAAAAAGCTGGAAGACTGGAAGTTTCGATGAGGGATAACAGTAAATGGATTCTTAATATACTCTTCAGATATGCTTGCTCTGGAAGGTATTTTTCATATTTGGATGTAGCATTTGTATGTTAAATATGCCCAATAATATGTCATATGTTATTGCCCTTTGTCTATAACTAAACAAGTTTAGAAAAGTCAGATTTTTGGTCAGTGGACTGCTTGAAACACAGTTTGTTTTTTTCAGAAAATCTGGTTATCTTATCTTCAACATTTAAACTGTTGATATTTTAACTAGGCAGTAACATTATCGGTATCATCTTTTAAAAGAAACTTGTTTGAACACTTTTTCCCTCAAAATCCATCACAGTTCAGTGGGAAAGATTTACTTCCCACCAATTCTTCACACTGTGCTAAAGAGACATCTTTCAATAGCCATGATTTTACGATAACCTCTGTTTTCAGTATTTCCTTCAAAACCAAATCAAGATCAGAGGCATGTTGCTGACCACTAATTTCATGGAGAATGAAGCAACAAGTGGGCATTACGTATAATATTGTTTATTCACGTAGCAGTATCATTCCTTGCAGAATATCCCCCTCCCCCCAAAAAAGCCCTCCTGGTGTTATCTTATTACTGAATCAAAGACAACTTCTGCAGTTTACAACCCAGCTCACAAAATGCTAACTCTTATCACGTAGGTTTTCATTGACCCACAAAAGAATTGGTCAAGACTTTTCCTTCAACTGATTCGCACACATGAAAAGGACTAGAAGGAAGAAGTCCTCAATACCTAAGTGGTTTTGTTCAGGGATAAAGCGAAACGTGCTATAAAGCATGCATATGTGAGAGTAACTGACATTTCAACATACGTCTGAGAGGGATATCTGCTAAGGAATATTGCCAAACAGCTTCTTCTGCTTTCTCCTTGGATCAAAATATTTGTCAATAATTTTACGATTGCTTTTACAAGTTTGGTTTCTTGATAATTTACTAAATGAAATTTAATTCTGAATATTGCTTCCATGGATCTGTCCTCCTCTCTACCTAGAGTGACAAAATTCATCAACGTAACAGAGATTATTACGCAGATGTTCTGGAAAACTTGACTAGCTGAGCAGAGAGGTCTATGGGCTTTATCTGAAAACTCACTCAAATTTAAAAGGCTTACGTCACCATTTGACAACACTTTATACAATAGATAACACACCAGACACTAGCAGTAAATGGATTATTCATTTAATAAATCTAATTTTCAGATGTCAACTACTGAAATTTTTTCACACTTTCCCTGCTTGTGCAAAACCACTATCCTCGCACAGAGGTTCACCTTCTCCGTAACCATAAGGCAGCAGTCCTCTTTATTACCTAACGACACGATTCTGAGCTGTAGCATTCTTGTTTCTATTTCCACTACAGGTTTTACTACTCAGCAAATCTCTTCTGAACCACTGAGCCATTTTTGTGAATTGGGAATACAATGCAACACAGTAAAACAATAGAAAATACAAATTGACAATACACAGAAGACAGCAAACCATACCCTGCCAACTGTGAGCTGAGACAAGCTAACACAAACTTTGTCATCTGTGTATACACTAATGTGTCCAAGTTTCAAAATTTAGTGGATTTTCTGAGAAAACGATAATCTTACATTTTAAGTATGTGAACTATGAATAAAATTGCTTCATTGTTTTGCTTTTCCTCTTAGGCTGCTTAAAAGATCCCTAGGAATCACTAATATAGTTCATAGACCCACTCCAAAAACCACTAACGTATGAGTAGGGACTCATGCTCCAAAAAGGAAGCAGTAATACAGCATCTATCTCAATACTTTTTAAACTATGAAAACTCATTAAACTGGATTCCATTAATTCAAAATATGTGATACAAACAAAGGAGCATATTAGGTGAACAATGTTGAAGCCAAAGATGCTTAATAATTCCAAAGACCAAACTGTTTTTAAGAACTTTATATTTTAGAAGTTTTGAACAGTTGGAGCACCAAATTTAGACTACTTTTATCTATCATTGATGTTGGCAAAGGAAAGTAATATTTCCTATAAATGTTATACACTCAAGAGGATAAAGAAGGAAAATCGGCTTAAATTCAGATCAAATCCAGAACAAGATTTAACCAAATACTACTGGAGATGAGATTAAAATGAATCATTATTTCAAATATACGCACTATCATTACCTCTCTTTTAACAAGCACATTTAAGACATATAGAGCATATTTTGCTATTTGTTACCTATAGAACTTGACTGTCAATGCTAAGGAAAACAAATGAATTACAACTGACCGGGAGATGCTACTGGCATCTAAGGGGTAAGGCCAAATGTTGAATGTTCTACAATGTATGAGAACTAATCAAGCCTTGATCTCTTTTTTCCAAAACTTTCAACAGAATGCAAATCTATGAACATAAATGAAAATGATTTAAAAAACAACAACATGCACACAGTGAACTGACTATATTTAGTGAATTCCAATCTTTCCTTGCTTTAATTTTCACAGATTAAATAAAACAAAATTGTCATCATTCTTTATATGCCTGTTTGGAAAAGTAAAATTTTATCAGCAAGATTAGCAGAACTTATAACAGAAATTACCTATCATCAACAAGTACATTTTTTATTCAGTAAATAAATCAACATTTAGCTTCATGTTTGCATGTTTCAACAAGCCTAACTTTGGTTCCACAACCTTCTCTGCGCCCTCTTGGGAAAGACAGAGTGGGGGTCACATTACTATATATCCAACTAGCACAACAGGCCTGGAGTAGCTCTAAATGTCACTGAAAAGCACTCAATTTACCAAAGTAACATATAGCTTAATCCAGGAAAAGTGGAAAAGCTAGGTGAGCCATGGACAGGGCCAGTGGGCATAGCTATGTTGTTCGTGCATCTTAAAAGGATTCCCAGCAGAAGGGCGGGAAAAATTTGTCCCACTGTGGCTCCAGCCTAGGAAAAAACAGCATCTTTGGACAATTCATCTGTCCAGAAGGGAGGATGCCTTTTTGTAACTCATACTACTGCATGATGGTTTGCTGAAAGACTGGTGCTAGAAGTTTCTCGCAGAAGACAGCCATAAGGTATATTATCTCACACTGACAGAGAAAAAAGAATCTAGCAACCCTTTCATATTCTCACTGATTAGAAATATCAACGCTATGAAAAGTTATTTTGGTTGTCAAATTTAAAAGGAATCTCAATAACTACAAAGACAGATCTCTAAGTAGAAATACATAAAATAAACTGAATTATCTGGCACTAAGCCAAGCAGAAAACCTTGATTATCAGACTCAAATTTTTAATTTAATGTTAGAATCACATCAGGTATAGTTAAACACAGTGTACTACAAATTTCTTATGATAAGATTCAATCTGTTTTAGGAATCCAAAATTATTCATATAACATTTAAATATGTGACTACGATCTTATGTTCTAATAAAAATCACAACGTATATTATCTTACTATATACAAACTTAACATATACAGCATAAATGTTAAAACATCTGCTTCATTTTAAAGTACTAAAATGTGTACCTGAGGAAGTTTTCCCACATAAGCAATTAATAAGGCAACAGGAAACAGCTTTACCAGGTTTACGAGGTAATCTCCATCCTAATTGCTTTTTTCCCTCCCCCTGCCGTTTTAGATTTTCACCCTTTGAAGCAGTGTTCATATCTTTTCCTGTAAGTTAGCTGAAAAGCTAGTTTTTGTAGAAGGAAGAAAAGCGAGTGAAGCAACAAAAGGAAACCCACCTACGGACAATGTTAACTCACAAATAGATTTTTAACAAAGCAGAATCCTGAATACTTCGAAATATTTGATATAAAGTTTTATTCTACTGAATTAGAACACACAAATTCCTTCCATATCGCACATGCATTTGAGTAGTAGATATTTCTCAAATAACAACTTGATAATATTATTTAAATGTTACTAAATATAAACAGTATGTTTTATATCATGTCTTTTCTTCATATATTAATGTAACGTAGTATTGTATCTAACAGGAAATTTAGGATAACTGACTTTACACAATATCATGTATTAATTAATAAACTCATATTGTAATTACTTACTATTAAAATAATTAAATACCTTTTGTAGACTAGTCGGATTCAGCTGAGTTTTGTCTATTATTTTCACAGCAACCTAAAAGAGAGAATCATTGAACTATATTTGAGAATACATATTTCAATGAATAAAAACTTATAAAGAAAACATCTTTTGTTTCATTCCTAACAACGTATAATTTAGCTATATTTGGATGGTAAAGTTTTGATAATTTGGCAGCCTCAGAATATATTCCATGGACCCAAGTCTTTAACCTATTGGATCGAGTCAATGAAATTACATTTTATTTCTTCCAAGTTTCTCCCTTTAAAGTAAAAATCATCTGTATCTTGATCTTTTACTCATGATCTTGGTAAGATATTACAATTATCATAGGAGAGGAGCTTATAAGCTTCCAGTAAATTAAGTATTACGTGAATAAAATGATTAAGTGGCTAGAGAGACCAGATACCCAAGCTTCTTACGGCAAACCAACAAAATGGATTTGAATGTCCTCTAAGTCTCTGCCTAATGCAGCCTGTGTTTGAATAGTTCCTGGGGTCAGAAAGGACAGAGAGAACTAAATTCAAGTGGAATGACAATAACATTATGTCTAGAATAAAAGGAACTTATTAAAAACATTTTGACAAAGATTTTTCACAATGTCCTAATTGGATCCAGTAAGCATTATGTAATATAGAATGTTAGATGTTTATTTTTCATCTTTAATATATGTTATTAAATATAATATTAATTACTACTATTAAATATATAAACATACATAATGTAAAACACACGGGATTTTAGAAACCCAATTCTCTTATTACCTAAGAAAACCATCTGTAAAACAACACCTGCTCAATGTGGTCTCTAAATAGATAAAAACTGGTAACTTTCTACGTATTTATACCAAATTTACCCTAGCCAGTAATTAATAAAAGTCCTGTTTCCGGGTTTGGGAAGCAAAGGTAATCAAAAATGTTTACATAAACCATATAATGGAAGGCAGAAGTCTGAGAAAAACTCATCTGTAGCACACCTGATTTATAAGAGATGCTACTATATAGGGATGAGTCTTTCTAAAGACTAAAAGGTCAACTTTTTATGGTACGATATAGCGCTACCTATGTATGCTCCATTCACACACATCCCCGTGTTTAGCATATTGCAATTGTCATTTATTCCCGGCATCGGCTACAGGAAAGCTTTTTAACAAGGCTCTGGAGAGGTCCAAGGAAATATTAAAAGGCATCACGAAAACTTACCTCTCTACCAGTTAGAACATGTCTCGCCAATTTCACTTTGGCAAAATTTCCCTTCCCTATTGTTTTTTGTAAACGGTAATTTCCAATGTGAGGCTGTTCGTCTGTTGCTGACGTAATGGAGTTTCTACACCGAGGGATGTTCTGTCTGCTACTTGACTTGGGAGGCTGGATATGTGGTTCAGTATATCCATCCACAGATGTATGCTAAGAAAAAGGTTACAAGATTTCATTGTTAATTAACGTACATTATAAAAGGACAGTTAAAAAAACTGCAAAATATTTTCATTAAAAATTCATCTTCAGTGAAAATACACTGCACTACATGATTTTAAAGTCTGAGCATTCTATTTATAATTTCTACTTGACTTTGGCTCCCTTTGCCAGGGGGAATATGACTATCTAAAATGAAATGTTCTGCAGTGCTTTAGGCATATGATGTGATTAAAAAATATAATGCTTAGATAGCCAGGAGCCCACAGAGCATTACTCCTCTAAGGGTGCTACCCCTTTAGGTTGAGATGACAACACAGTCTAGGATTGCTTCATGAAAAGGGCAGAGTCTTTAATGCCAAGAAAACCAAGCTTAAGAGTACAGTTCTGTTTCTGTAAACTAGCCCAATTACTTGTCATGGTCACTCGTTCATTTGCTGGGCAGATAACTTGGCCAGCTGACCAACCAGCTGCCAGCTTCAAGTAGATGTCTGATTGACGCCTGCCCAACCCCCTCACACACAGCTTACCACGCCCAAGCAAGAGCTATCTATCACCCTGCCTGGATCCATGACCCAGCACCCACTGTATTCCTCCTCAGTGCTGTTCTTGAGGCTAACATGTCACTCTGTCTCAGCCTCACACTAGCCTACAACTGCAATGAATAGCTGAGCCTGTTCACTTGCAGGCTCAGTGCCTGAGGTTCCAGGTAAAGCTGCCTCACAAACTCTGCCCTTGTCTAGTTTTGTCTGCATTTTTTCCTTTTTTTTTTTTTTTTTGAGGAAGACTGGCCCTGAGCTAACATCTGTGTCCATCTTCCTCTATTTTATGTGGGATGCCTGCCACAGTGTGGCTTGACAAGCAGTGCGTAGGTCTGCACCTGGGATCCAAACCATTGAACCCCGGGTCACGGAAGCGGAACGTGCCAACTTAACCAGTACATCCGGCCAGCCCCTGTCTGCATTCTGACATACGTAAAACTTCTAGCAGTTTTTGTGAAAACATAGAATCACACGCGATAAACATAACATCTTTCTCTAACTGGCTTCTTAAACATAGCTGAAGATGAGTAGAACAAATTAGCAAAAGAAAGGGATACCTTTTATTTGCAAAGTAACTAATTCAGACTCCTCATGTCATCCTAAGTATTTGACCAAAGCTTGTGAAAAATTGTGATCAGAAATTTCTTAGAGGCAACATTAAAAATGACTCCACTTCCCAGTCTCATGCAAAGCACAAGTCAAGGTCACTTTTCTATCTGTTATTACTTTCTGATTTTTTTTTTAACTTGGCTCAGTATCAAAGGGTTTCTCAGTGTCTTACACACACCAGCAGCCCTGGCCTCATTCTGAGTTGGTGCTCCTTCGGTGTATTCTCACAGCAAACTGTACTTCCATATATGTCAGCACCATTCCACTGTACTATTAGACACTTACTTCTCTGTCTCGGCCACCCACCGTGAGCAATTCGAGGGCAGGGATGTTTTCTCTTCATCTCTATATACACCACATTGTAGAGTGCCAGACACAAAGGAAAGATTCAAAGAATCAATAGTTCTCGTGATGCTGTCCCTGGACTAGCACCACCAGCATCATCTGGGAACCTGTGAGAAATGCAAATTCTCTGGCCCTGTTCCTGTCCTACTGAATAAGAAACTCTGGGGGCGGGGTCAGCAATCTGTGGTTTAACAAGGCCCCCAGGTGATTCTGATGCTGCCAAAGTTTGAAAACTACTGCAATAAACAATGTGAAAAGGAGGTAAATACAAAGTTATTCAGCGGCTCTTAGAGACTTTTCTACTATCTGAGCACAAACAAGAGATTTTAATTATAACCATTTTCTGAGAACAGAAGTATTACAGGTTGCTGTGATATTTCCCACAAATAGTACTTCTCCACCTCAACTTGTTCTGTAGGGAATGTGGTCTTGTCCGTCCTTCAAGATGTAATCTTATCTCTCCTCAACAAAGCTTTCTACGTCTTTTCACAGAGCAGAGTTGATTACCCCTGTCTTCTACTGCTATCTATACATCCAGGAAAAACTTCTACTATTGGAATTGCCACACCATCTTCTAAGAGTGCGTCCATGGTGCATTTTCACTGTTAGACCCCAAGCTTGTTGAGCTCCCTAACTTAATAGAATGTTAGGCACAAAGAAAGAACTCAATGCATACTTAGCTAAATTTAAGGAATTTAGGACTCTTGTGCTAATGCCCATACAGAATGACTTCTAAGGAATGATTCCTTGCTGTCCAAATCTTTGATGTGCATAATAGGAGGATGAGTTAAAATATTTGAGTTGTAATCTAGCTCCCAATGCTGGTTGCAGGGTATATCCTAACACTAAACCAAACTATAACACTAAACCAAACTATGATAGACTGCATTATTAGCCCCAAATTTTCATACCCTTTGCCAGGTATCTTTCCAATATCCTCCTACTAGGGGAGGGCATAGTTCCCCACTCTTTAGGGATCAGTCATATGATTTGCTGTGGCCAATAAAATAAGTTGAAAGTGACACTATGCCAGTTCCAGGTTAGTCATCAAGAGGCCTTGCTGTGTTTCAACCTGCTGTCTTAAACTTCTGCCATCACCATGAGAAGGACGTGGCCAGGCTAATGGCAGAAGGAAGATGAGAAATACACAGAGCAGAGCCACTCCCAGCTGAGCCTGGATTAAATCAACTGATCCTCAGATGCCCCTCTGATTCATGAGAAGTAATAGATGCTTGTTAGTCTCAGCAACTGGGTGCTGGGATGATTTGTTACGCAGCAATGACCACTGATACACAAAACTCACAATTTTTAGATTAAGAGATAAACATAAGGGAACAACGAACAATTAGGAGATTTTTATCAGACATGTTCAAATTCTAGTAGAGTCTGCAAACAAAAAAATAGAGGGGGGGTTATTATATAATCAAATCCCTAAGGAGAAACTCTTGATCAGGTAAGCTACATAGGGGCAGAACCCTTGACTATTTCGTATCCCCAGCAAAAACAGCAAAACAGAGGAGTCAGCAAACTTTTTCTGTAAAAAGTCAAACAGTAAACACTTTAGGATTTGCAAGCTGTACACTGTCTCTGCTGCATATTCATTTTTTTTCCAGCTCTTTAAAAATATAACAACCTTTCTTAGCTCAGGGCCATACAAAAACACACCAAAAGGCTGGATTTAGCCGATAGGATGTAGTTGGCTGACCCCTAGTGTAACACATCATATTTTGGGATGCAGGATTAAATTGTTTCTGGCTGATTCTACCAACAGAGTGTAGATTCCAGGAAAAGCACAGGCATGGCTGTGTCTGTACTTGGAGAGCAGAGAAGAGGACATAGGGCTCTCCCCAAAATATCATTCCTTCTTATCCCACCCCCTAAATTGGGAAGGGTAGTATATTCTCCAAAATCCTTTTTTTAAAATGAGATCTTCTAACTTTCAACATTAAGCATGATCATTTTATGAGCCATTCAAATTACACAAAATGCATTTAGCTATCTTAAATTAGAAAGTAAAATAGAATATATAGCATATGTTTTATATTATATAATTCTGATTATAAAACTCTCACTCAAATTTTTTTTTCTGCTTTATCCTCCCAAACCCCCCGTACATAGTTGTATATCTTAGCTGCAGGTCCCTCTAGTTGTGAGATGTGGGATGCCGCCTCAACATGGCCCGAAGAGCAGTGCCATGTCCATGCCCAGGATCCGAACCCTGGGCCGCCACAGCGGAGTGCGTGAACTTAACCACTCAGCCACAGAGCCAGCCCCCTCAAACAAATATTTTTTTAAAAAACCATCTTTCCTTAGGATTGTCACCGCATCCCTCAGGAGCACAATCTTTTCTTTAACAAACTCTTTGAAGAGTAATGTGGGCTAACTGACCTCACTTCTCCCTGATCAGTCGCTTAACTCTCCAATAGGAAACCTGGCAAAAATACGAATTCAGCTCATGCTGGATTAGACAGTGAGTTTAATTAAGAACTATCTCAGCCCTAAGACTAGTAGAGATAAAAAGTTATGTTAGCTCAATTACGGAATGTCTACAAGTTTTAGCCCTCATCTTTACCTAAAAATACAAATTCAGATTTGTCATTTTCTTTCTTCAAGGTGTCACCTCAATCCGATAGACCTTGAATTCCTCCATTCTTTCTGCAGCAGTGGCAACATGACACTAAAGCTTGCCCTGATTATAGGTGACAGTTTCATCAACTCTTCAAGTCTGCATCCCATACATTACTAGACTCCAATTCCTGAATAATAATAGAACTTCCTCTGCCTTCAATAACAACTGAAACAAAATTCTTCTACTCACTAGCTATGCATCCTTGGGCTGGCTGTTTAACCTTCAAGTGCATGTTTCCTTATGGGGATAATAATAAAGCCTACCTCATGGTCATTCTGAGGATTAGATCAAATAATTTAATAAAGGTGCTTAGAAAAGTACATGATAAGCACTATATGTAAGTTTTTGTTAATTAAAACCACACAAATAAATAAAGAAATAAAAATAACCCACCTCCAAGACCAGACAACTAATCCCACATTTCTGCCATTTCCCTGAGCATCTCTTGCCTGCAACCACTTCTGGTACCAATTTCTGTATCAGTCAGGTTTCTTGTCTGTAAGCAACAGAAACCAACTCAGGCTAACTCAAGTAGAAAAGGAATTTTTTGGGGCCGGCTCCGTGGCTGAGTGGTTAAGTTCACGTGCTCCGTTGCGGCGGCCCAGGGTTTGGATCCTGGGTGCAGACATGGCACTGCTTGTCAGGCCACGTTGAGGCAGCATCCCTCATCCCACAACTAGAAGGACCTGCAACTAAGATATACAACTATGTACAGGGGAGGTTTGGGGAAATAAAGCAGAAAAAAAAAAGAAAAAGATTGGCAACAGTCGTTAGCCCCGGTGCCAATCTTTAAAAAAAAAAAAAAAGAAAAGAAAAGAAAAGGAATTTTTTCAGGTAGCCTGAAAACTCCTGAAGGATGAAACTTCTAT